TGAAGTCTTCCATCACCGACCTCACGACGGCAATCTTTTGCAGCAGTGGCTTGACGAGGAGTGTTCTTGTACAGCGCCGCTCTTTGGATCTGATGTCAATTGGGAAATGCAACGGGCCCACGTGGCAAAAACGATTTGCAATGCCCCCGCAAGTACTCCAAGCCCGGATGGTATTCTTTACCTTGCATGGAAGCGCTCGGCATCGATTGCCGTGGAGAGACCCGGCCTCTCACGAGGCAGCTCGCAAGCTGGTGCGAAGCTCATGGTTCTCCCTTTACAGATGCTGAACACATTCTTTCAGCAGACATTTTCCTCGATGCTGCCCATGCACTTGGCGGTCACGGAGCACGCGACGCCCTTCGTGAGACGCTGGAGGGACTCGACGCGCAGGGGCATTAATTCAATTTGGACAACATGGTCATCCTCCCCAAGAAACCAGCAGGTCACCAGCCTCGAACTTATCCCTATCCCTAAGATTGACACACCGAAAGGCGATGCCAATCTTAGGGATGCGCCCTCAAAACTGAGGGAATCCTTAAGATTGGCATCGTGATGGGGCGATGCCCAGCATAGGGATAGGGATATGTTCCAGGCTGGTAAGCAGGCACGAACCCTATACTCGGAGACTTCTACACCGCGGCGGACACGCGACCGCTAGTCATTGGCAACACGGACCACCGCTCAATTGCAAGCGCTGGCAGATTATGTTTCGAACCAATCATGAAAGCAGTCATTTCGAAGATGCAGCAAGGTTTCGTCCCTGGACGGAGCGTGCTGACGAACGTGGCGGACATTGAACACTATGGACAAGGAGTTGCACTTGGCAAGGCGCGGGCTTGCACCGTGCTGTTTGATTTCAAGGCTGCTTTTCCCAGTATCTGTCATGGTTATCTTCGCGAAGTTCTTCGTGGAGTTGGCGTCTCTGGACACGTTTGCCAGTTTTTCGCTTCTCTGCATGATGACCACAAATGCAAGGTCTTTCAGGGAGGGCAAGCATTCGCCAGCTTTCCCGATTGCGGCTGGTATTCGGTAAACTGCCCTTTTATCTCCACGCATCTTCGTTTTCGTCATGGGCGTTTTCTTGCGCAAGCTCCAGATGCGCATCCCATGCGCAGTGATTCGGGCGCTCGCACGCGACATCGCCATTGTCTTGGGAAACGCTCAGACGGATCTGCCGAAGGTTGCCGGGCTCTTCATCGCGATGGCCTGGGCTTCAAGGCTGCATTACGTGCACAAGTGCATTATCATGCCGTTGTGGCCTGGCGGGCACGTCCGGCTTCGAGGGTGGTTGACTCGGATCGTCCCTGATTTCGCAAGCGTTTCGATTGCTTACAACGGCACGTACTTGGGCTTCGTCATCGGACCAGACGCGGGAGACGAGACATGGGAGAACCCTCTCAACAAATACATCCGTGAAACTAGAATTGGGGGGGGAGACAGGATTGGGATTGCAATATGCTGTCGCGGCCTACTCCGCATGCGTTCTACCGATCTTGTCGTACGTGGCCCAACTCCGGTGTCTACCGCAGAGAGCGGGCCCTCTGGAGGCGCAAGCTCTGCGCAGCATGGCCCCTGGTCCGTTTGTCATGGTGCTTGCCGCAAGATTGGTTTTACCTGCGTGAGCGGTATGGTCAGCCGATCTCTTTCCCGCCATTGCAAGACATGGTGCAAGCGGCGCAGGCCCGAGTGTATATTTGCGACAACAACAAGCATGGCGGGCTTCGGGTGCAACGCCGCGTGCTGGAGTTTCAAGGGTGGATGCGCCAGACCAACTTTCCCGGCAGGCTTGGCGCATGGCGCTCGTGGTTGCGCTCCTCCCCTACGCAGTGCTGGCAGTTTATATGGAGAACCTCAAGAAGCATGGGCAGCGCCCAGAGGCGTTTCTGGCTGCCGCTGGCGTGCCGGCCGATCAAAGGAGCGAAGTGAGCAGCGTTTGACAGCTGCAAGGCGGAAGTTGCAACGAACGACGCGCCAAGCCCTTTTGCCGCGCGCGACGCCCCGATGGCGAAACGCGGATGCGTCGCAAACTTGCCAGGTGGAGGTTGCCGGGGCTAGAGGGCACGACGGCTCGGATATGTGTCCGCTGTTTGGATAACTTCCGGTCCAAGATGCCCCCCCTGGTAGGGGCAGCGTGGTTCCGCACTCTGTGTAATGGATGGACTACGGCAAGGCTCAGCAAGAGCCGTCGACGTATGTATTGGGTCGTGGTGGCTGTATCCGCAACGAGGACTTCACCGAGCACTGCGACCATATAGGGTAACCCGAAGGGTAGCAAGCACCTGCTTTCCACTTCTCACACCAGCCTGTGTGCACTCGTTGGGCGATTTCGTGACGCTCGGGCTTCACCGGGGCGTGGACAGCGACGACGTCCTTGTGCGCCGCGCCTTGTTGGCGTACAGGGCCTACCAGGCTGTCAACGCCATTCGTCATCAACGCAGGCTTTTGGATGACAACGTGGCCGTCGACACCGTTATCCAATATTGTATATCCGCCGCAGCTGGGCACAAGCAGTTGGAACGTATTGTTGCTGGGATTTGGGTTCGGGGGCCAGGTCCACGACGCAGGTCTTCACGAGAAGAGGTAGATCTGATCAGCCACGCTGAGGCACTTGAGACGTGACATTTTCCTATCTTACGTCTGTTGCGTTTATTCTTCTTGTTTGTTTCGCCTTGCTCTCTCGCCTCGTCCTCCCTTCCCTCCCCTCTCACCTTCTGCTGGCGTTATTTTCACAGCTATTTTGACATGCGTGAGGACAGCTCGCTTTCCGCCGCTTGTTGATTCTACTAGCCCCTCACTCTGGCCAGGGGTCTCTTCAGGTGGCCGCTAGTCGATGGCGTCTCTGTAACACACCCACGAGATCTTACAGGAACTCCGCTTCGGAATTCTGGCGCAATTGCCTGTCTAGTTGCATGCGTGTGCGAGGCGGTGGCTGTGTCCATGGCGCTGTACTCACATATCTCCAGATGGTGCCTCGTTTGTCTGCCTGTCCGTTCCTCGTCTTTCCTCTCCTCCGCCCTTTCTCTGCCCTGTGCGCCCCTGCTGCCTCGCCCCGTCTCTGTCTCTTGGCTCCTCTCCCTCTAGCCTCCCCCTCTCCGTGTCCTCCCCCTGCTTGCCCCTGTATTTCTTTCCCCTCTGTGTGTAGTGTCCTCTCCCTCTCTCTCTCCCTGCTTGGCTGCCCCAGTTCGTCTCCTTGTCCCTCTGGCGGTCGGCCCGGCCTGTCCTTTCGTGTCGTCGTCCTTCCCCCTCTCCTCCTCCCTTGGCTCGCTCCTCGGCCCCTCGCTCTCTGGCCCGCGTCCGTGCTGTGTCCCTGTCCCGCTTTTCTCTCTGTCGGCCCGCCCTGCGGTCTGAATAAGAGTTCCGTCGGCAGGAAGTGTTACTCTGCTAACGTCAGGAGCGAAAGAAGGACGTACATGTACATGAATACACGCTGGTTTCGAGAGCACGCATTGCACAAATGTTCGTATAACGCGGCGGGTCTCGCGAATCGAGGGGCCGTGTTCATGTACATAGCTGGGCGCGTACGTCCTTTGTGGGCTCCCTATAACGTGAATGATTGCCCAACGCTGCGCGCTCCACGGTTGCGCTGGGGGAGCAAAATCTTAAAGGGCTCTCTGCCTTTTCTGAGGTGATGCCGGCTGAGCAGGCATCGCCACTTCCGCGAGGTCCAAGGGGGTCCAGCGGAGTGACGTCTTACATTTCAACGGAGCTGTTTTCGGCGTTGCAGCATGTAGCTTTCTTGGTGCACGCAGCGCATGGTTTCCTCTTGGCAGACGGATCAACGTGCCTTTTAGAATGTTCGTTGGGCTTGGAGGATCCCGTTGGTCTTTGTTGTTGACATAGGTGCATGTATGCCATTTTCTAGAACCTCCTGGAAGCATTGGGAGGGGGGTCCTCCTCCTCCGGATCCCCCCGTCATCATCCCTCCTCTTTTTCTCTGCCCCTCCTCGTTCCCCTCTTCCACCCCTACCTTCACCTTCTATCCCCTCCTCTTCTTTGGACTCGGCTCGGCATTCTTCAGACTGGGCGCCCGACGTGGCAGCTGTGTCTCACGGCAGACGGGAGTTATCGCTGCGACACGATGGGTGCCTTGGCACAGCTTGCTCGCCAGGCGCGCGTCTCACTTCTTGGATCATGCGCGCTGCTCGCTTGCGTCGGTAAGTGTTGCGGGATCTTCTCCTGCGCCCGCGGTGAGGGAATTCTGCCATCACCAAGCTTTTTCAGGCAGGATCTCCTCTTTTTTATCCTTCTCTCTTTCCAATCCTTTCCTCCTTTGCTAGGCCGAGATGGTTTCATGAATTAGAGATCTTTGCCGTGGAGTGGTGGATAATATCCTCATCCAGTATCCTCGCATTCTGGCGCGCATCTGGTACACCACGCCTGACTCGCCGGGCGTGCGTGGAGCACTTGGCGAGTCGAGCTGATTTCTTGCGTGCTTCTGGACAGAACATCGGAGGTGTCCGCGGCAATGGAGCTTTGCGAGCACGGCTATTTTGTATCCTTCAACTTCGCTGCCCCTTTTGCCATTGCGAGCTGGGCTGATGGATAACAGATGGTCGCCGATTCGTGCCTGACTCGCTTGAGCTCGTGAGTTCGGGGTGTTCTCTTGCGTGACGCCAGCAGGGCCCTCGTGATTCAGAATCATCACCGGTGTCGGTAATCCAGATCATCTGTCGGTGTCGGATCCGATTTCCTTTGACCAAGAACTTCCTGTGCTCTGGGGCTCCACCATGAGCTGTTGCGCTAGCTCCCCGTGCAGGCGAGTAAGTTTGCGGATGCTGAGCTTCCGAAAGAGGCACCTTCTTGCAAGCCCACCTGGCGCCAAAAGGGAAAAGCGAGGGCGAGCGACAGAAAAGGAACAGGAGGAGTCAGTAAGGCAAGTTGAACTCTCGGAGGCCTCTGGCCTCGACATGGGCCCATCATGATTCGCAGCCGCCCTGCCTGGACTCATGTCGTCGTCAAAGTGTACATCAGGAACAACTGAACGTAAGTTAGAACCTGGAGGAGCTTTAGGAAAAGGAGGAAAACAACAAGCAAGAAGAACGGCAACACGAAGTAAGGGTAGTGTAAATGTTCTTCGTAAAATCATGCTATTAACGATCCCTCCGCAGCGTATCAAGGACGAGGAGGCCCATTCGCACTACGGCGACCATGAGCTCGCTGCGCCGCTTACATGATGGGTGCGCCTGGAAAGTGATCCATCCTGACGCAGTAGTGACTCTGGGTTGGTGTCCCCACCAGGACGGCGTAATGGTGTATATCGCATTGAGCTGCTTCCGGAATTCGCCGAAAGTCTCGCACTGGCACTCGGAGACGAGGTGGCGCAAGCTGGGCCACACCTCCTCGCCGCAATAAGGACACCGTTGCTCTGTGCACCGGCGCCCTCGGGTTGGTGATGAGGTTGCTCCGCACATAAAGATGTGTACTTTTGAGTAGCGCTCCGATGGTAGGGAATCCCTGAAGGTCTGCCAGGGCTTCTCGGACAGGGCCGACACGTCGACCTCCTCGATGCCTTCGGCGTCGTTCCGCGTGTGTCTGGCGGAGGAGAGGGCACGCACTCGGCAGATCTGCCGAAGAAGGTGAGCCACCTTGTCCCCTTCGTCGCTCCAGTAGGTCTTACGCCGGCCAAACAGCCGGACAACTCGGTGGTCGTGCTCGTGTTCGCGAATACCGAACCGGACGCCGCGGTCCTTGTTGAAAGTGCGGAACTCCAAGCCCACGGCATCAAAGTACTGCTCGAAATTGTGTTTCAGGAAAGAGCTCCACTCCAGGTCCCACGTCGTGATCCTGTCGATCGCCGTGAGAAGCGTGGTAAATACTGGATGCAGGTTAAAGTTCAGGGCCCAGAAACGCCCCCTGCACCACCACGTACATTTCGTCCGCAAGACGGCTCTCATCACCTCGCCCGTGGCCTGGTCTGGCGCCAGTGAGAAAACAGGGCAGCACCACAGCCACAATGGCTTCGCATAACCTCCCACAGCGCGGGATCTGGTCGCGGCTGATCCCGGTAGGCTCCGTATGGCTTCGAGGAGTTTGTGGAGCTTGGACCAGCCCGCAGCCGGTGTGATGTCCACTTCTGGATCATCAGGCACCGCCAAAATGCCCACGTGCTCGACGGCTTTGCCTTGGCCGCGCGCCCAGCGCTGCCGCTTGGACTCGTTCTCAATGGCACCAGTGCCCGTGTCGAACTCGTTCGTGCTCTGGATGTCGGAATCGAGCTGCGCCTCTGAAGAGCAGACCAGCGACCGGTCATCCATAAAGAGGAACTTGGTGCCGTGCGTAGACCACGGCGAGAGAACTTCGCATAAGACCTTGGGCGCGCAGCTGTCGCCCTGAGCGAGGCTGCGTGTCGGCCAAATCTCCTCGTCTGCGAGCTCCCCTGCGACTTGGCATATACGGGGCCCCGTCCACGCAGCGTGGGCCACGGCGGTGACCAGCTGGGGCGTGCCCGACTTGTGCAGCGCAGCGAGCCCCACCTCGTGGGGAACGTTGTCGTAGCATTTGGATAAGTCTCGCTCTGTGCCACATTCGCCCTCTTCACAGGATCTGAGCCAAAGGCAGCACGCGTGGACAACGGATGTCCCAGACTTGCACGCGTATTGCGCGTCTTGTGGAGCAGGTAAGCTTGGTTCGCAGGCCGTCAGCCAGGACCGGAGCAGGCACGACCCCACACCGATGGGGCGGCTCTGCGTCGGATCCTTTTTCGGCACGCCGACGACGCGCCAGCAGAACAGCAACCGCTGAAGTTCTTGTAGGGCGTCCTGGCGCCCGAACTTGATGCCCTCCTCCGAAGCCAGGCCGGCCTCCTCGAGGAAGAAGCAGGTGTCGCCCCAGAGGTCATATAGCTCCCGCACAAGGAACTCGAGCTGAGAGGCCATAAGCTTGAGTTCTGAGGAATGCCACCCGTCGTAGCCGGCACTCCCCTTCCCCTTCTTCACGGCCTGCACGAAATCAGCATACGTAGGAATCCAATCCGCTGGACACGTAGACATAGGAAGCGGCTCGCGCATCTGGGACGCATACCATTTCCATTGCTCTGCGCACTGCTTGCCGTTGAAAGTGCTGGGTGGGCACCAGATCTGCTTCCACTCCATAGCCATGTCGTTTGCTGTGAAACTTGGGCACTCCCCGCCTGGCTTGAGGGCCCCAGAGGCCGCCCGCCAAGTTTCAGGAGTGAAGCTCTTGAACATCTGCTTCCAGTCGCTCGAGACCTGCTTCTGGAGCCGGCCCTGCTCGCGAGTGATTGCTTTCGACACTAAGTCGTGTGCTCTGCCGTAGGAAGGGACGCCCGAGCCGTCGACATCGATGTAGCCTCGGAGGCACTCGCGCACAAAATGATCCAGGAGGCCTCCCTCAAGGGAGCGCTGGGGACCATCACGTAGCCCATGGGCGATGCGCCGGCCGAGCCGCTTCAGCCTCGCCAGGGCGATCGGCTCGCTAGGGCGCCGTGCCGGCTGGGAGGCAACAGGTCTCGAAGAGGGAGTGGATCCCTTCGGCCGCTCGGCCACCCCAGTCTGCTCCAGGAAGCCTTGGTTGACTCCAACCTGCATTGCAAGCTCGGCTCGCGCGTGCCACTGCTGCCAGCGCTCCAGGAGAGGGTCGGCGCGGGGAAGGACAGGTAGACGCTGCCGCACTTCAGCTTCGAGGGCTTGGATGTCCTCCGGGAGGACAACGGCGTCAGGGTCACCGACGTACCGCGCCGTGCGGTGGAGCCTCGTGGTGCGCCTGGGGGCGTGAAGCACGCCAACTTGGTAGGTGACCAGGGCGTGGTAGGGGATGCCCGCCACGAACTCGGCCGACAGGTGCATCAGAGCAGCGCCTTTGGCCAGGGCGCGCGTGGGAGCTGTATTCATAACTGTGGTGCTTTGGGCCTCGCACAAGTCGATGCCGTCGTAGACGCACTGCTTGTAGCATGGCCGCCAGTTGAGGTCGCCAGCAACCACCCACAGAGATGAGCCCGATGAATGTTGCTCCGCAAACTGAATTACATCCTCCATCCAGGGCGCCGATGCACAGCTGGCGGGCCCATAGGCGCTAACAAAGGTGCCGCACGCCAAGCGGATCGCCACGTAGCGGTGGGGGCCCCGTCGGATTGCAGCCTGTCCCAAAGAGGGTCTCCAAAAAATGGCCGTCCCACCCTGCATGAGGACGCCCTTGCTGTTCCGGTCTGGCGGCGTAGAGCAAGCCGCACGCCAACCGTATTTGAGAGCCGTCGAGAGCACCCAGCCCGGGGTACTCGAGGCCAGGCGGACCTCCTGGAGGAGCAGGACGTCCACGTGCTTCAAGGCCTGATGACTCAGAATGGTCTCCAAACGATCCTTCCGCAGCACGGTAACGTTGAGCGTCGCCACCTGCAGAAAACGTGAACAAGGCTCTGGCGTATTTGCGGACAGGTTGTGCACCGCAGCTTGGGAAGGCTCGCCCCCCCCGCCCCAGAGAGGATCAACAGGAGGGAGAGCTTGAAGCACCTCCCAGCCAGTACCCCCGCGAAGAGGACGACCTGGCTCAGCAGGAAGAAGATCCCGAAGCTCATCTTGGCCAACACCTCCGTGAACAGGACAACCAGGCTCAGAAGGAGGGAGAACTTGAAGCACCTGCCGGCCAGTACCCCCGCGAAACGGACGACCTGGCTCAGCAACAAGTAGATCTTGAAACACATCCCGGCCAGCACCTCCGTGAAGAGGACGACCAGGCCCAGCAACAAGTAGATCTTGAAACACATCCCGGCCAACGCCTCCGTGAAGAGGACAACCAGGCTCAGCAAGAAGGAGAGCTTGAAACACCTCCCGGCCAGGACCCCCGCGACGAGGACGACCTGGCTCAGCAGGAAGAAGACCCTGAAGCACATCCCGGCCAACACCTCCGTGAAGAAGGCAACCAGGTTCAGCAGGAAGGAGATCCTGAAGCTCATCCCGGCCAACGCCTGCGTGTAGAGGACAACCAGGCTCATCCCGGCCAACGCCTCCGTGAAGAAGGCAACCAGGTTCAGCAGGAAGAAGATCTTGAAACACATCCCGGCCAGCACCTCCGCGAAGAGGACGACCCGGGTCGTCAAGAAGATGAGCTTGAAACACATCCCGGCCAGTACCTCCGCGAAGAGGAGGACCCGGTTCATCAAGAAAAAGATCTTGAAACACATCCCGGCCAGTACCTCCGCGAAGAGGACGACCCGGGTCGTCAAGAAGATGAGCTTGAAACACATCCCGGCCAGTGCCTCCGCGAAGAGGATGACCCGGCTCAGCAGGAAGAAGACCCTGAAGCACATCCCGGCCAACACCTCCGTGAAGAAGGCAACCGGGCTCAGCAGGAAAGAGATCCTGAAGCTCATCCCGGCCAACGCCTCCGTGAAGAAGGCAACCAGGCTCAGCAGGAAGAAGATCTTGAAACACATCCCGGCCAACGCCTCCGCGAAGAGGACGACCCGGGTCGTCGAGAAGATGACTTTGAAACACATCCCGGCCAGTACCTCCGCGAAGAGGATGACCCGGCTCAGCAGGAAGAAGACCCTGAAGCACATCCCGGCCAACACCTCCGTGAAGAAGGCAACCGGGCTCAGCAGGAAGGAGATCCTGAAGCTCATCCCGGCCAACGCCTCCGTGAAGAAGGCAACCAGGCTCAGCAGGAAGAAGATCTTGAAACACATCCCGGCCAACGCCTCCGCGAAGAGGACGACCTGGCGCAACAAAACGCGCATCTTCCCGGCCAGTACCTCCGCGAAGAGGACGGCCGGGCTCAGCAACAGGAGAAACTTGAAGCACATCCTGGCCAGCGCCTCCGCGAAGAGGACGACCTGGCGCAGCAGGAAGATAGACTTGACTGCGTGAAGTAGCAGCGTGGTGGGCACGCTTGGCGCGAGCCCTCCTCCACCCCCCGCCAGGCGGGGCGCTGACGGGGGTGAAGCACCTTCACCGGCTCGCGGCCTGCAGCCGCTTCCTCTGCTTCAGGGCCCGGCGGTGCGCATTGTATTGCTTTTTGTCCGCCACCTTAGTGCGGCATTTCTTGTGCATGCTCTGGCTGCGCAGCTTGCGGGAGCGGATCACGTCGTCCCAGGCGGTGTACTGCTGCCAGTACTTCTGGCGCTTCTGCTTCGCCGCTTCCGAGTGGTACTCGGCGGAGGCTTCGCGCTTTTTGCGCCTCTTGATCTCGAGGTCCAAGATGCGCTTGGCCCTCGTGCGGCCCACAGTGCTCGTCAGGTACTGGAGGCGCGTGAGAGAGGACGGTCGTTTGGAGCACGGTGTCCAGGCCAGGTGGCTCGCTGCGCGGACGATGCCGCAACGAAGGCACCGGTACCCCGTTTTCGTACCGTAGGCGTGCGGCATGTCCTGGACGGACGCCGGGTCGAGGTTGCAGACGCCGGCGCGAACGGTCACAGGCAACTTGGCGATCCATTGGTTGATGTCAGCCAATTGCCGCTTGCGCTTGTTCTCGCGGATGTGCGGCGCGTTGGCCATGAACTTGCTAATGGCGGAGTGCGCCATCTTGGTGATCTTGGGGGGCGGCATGCCTTGGCACTCCCGCCAGTGTTTAGTGGCTGCGCTGAACCTCTGGGAGGCCGTGCGCCCCTGAAACGTTCCAGGTGCTGGCCACCCGCACGTGCACTTGTAGCAGTCCCCGGACGAGTAGTCCAGGTCCAGGCCTTCCATCATCTCCTTGAACTCGTCCTGCAGCCCCAGTGCGCTCGCGGCGCCCTTGGAGTACACAGGATCAGCGGTACTTGCTTTGGCTGACTTCGCGCGGCCAGCGCTGGCAGAGTCAGCAGCGCTGAAGGAGAGGCCAAGCAGCGACAAGGCGTCCTCGTCTAAACCCTTCCCCTGGAGGCCCACGGCGGGGTAGGGGAAGGCGTTGTCCCTCCACAGCTTCAACGTGTTCTTGAACTCAGGCAGGTCGGTGACGTCCGTTTTCGGTTCCAGCCATTCGTAATGGTGGTCCTGGAGCTTCAGCCACATCTCCTTGGCCTTCGGCTTCGCCTTTGCTTCCCGGCCGTAGAGGACCCACTTGGTGGACCCCTTCTGCTGGGACCAGACGTAGATATCAGTCTTGGCGGCTTCAGAGAGCAGCCGGACGGCGAGCGAGGTCGCCGGCGTGCCAGTGAGGCCAATGGCCTCCGCATCATTCGACGTGGCGCCGAACTTCTTCTTCAGGGCCAGCGTCTGCGTCAAGAGCCGGAGGGTGCCCTGTAGCCGCCCTTTCGGCTCGAAGTCCTTCGCGGTAGGAGCCTTGGCGGTCGGGGCGACCGCCTGGAACCCGCGGGCCGCAGCGATGTAGAAACAGTCGCCCTCGCCTCCACAAGCACGATTGTTGAAGAACTTCTTGAAGGGTGGGTCGTGAGGATTGCTCACTGCTTGTCCGTCCTGGCCTTTGCGGCGCTGCGCAGCAGGCTCGCCGGAGGCGGGCGCTGCAGGGGTCTTGCCTTCCAAGTTGACTCCGCGGCCATCGGCGGCAGCAGCTCCGGCTGCTGGTGCGGCGGCTACCGCGGCGGGCGGCTCCTCTGCCTCGGGGAACTGCTCCGGGGGCTCGGCCTGCGGCGTAGGCTTCGGGGCGCCCCAGCGGCTGCGCGCAGGCTCAACTTTGGTATCTTTGGCTTTGGTCGGCTTGGTGCCGGTACGAGCCTGGGCTCGTGTGACCACCATGCCAGAGGAGAAGCTGAAAGTAGTGGCCGGCACTCCGTCTGGGGCGTCCGCGAAGAACGTCCAGGCGCGCGGCCCAGCTCGGCTGGCCTGGGCGACGCGGAGGAAGCCGCGCCCAGAGGCCCATTCCATCATCTCCGTCGGCGTGAGCCAATTCGGAGGCGTGTGCTTGACAAACCACTTCGTGAGTTCTGCAGCTCCCGCCGTTGTCACGATCGAGCTGACTACTCCGAGCTGGGCTTTGTGGTGAGGTCGATACAGGAGAGCTCCGCGCTTGCCTTGCACCAGGTGGCTGACGCGGTTGTAGTAGTCCCCACCCTCCTCGTCGTCCCTGCGGCTGAACCACTTCGGCACCTCCTTGGAGCTCTGGGGCATCACGAAGCAGCCGACCGGCGGGGTAACTTGCTTTATAGCGTCGGCGTGGCTGGTCGGGACCGTCACCACGCAAGTGGCCTCCGACTCGTAGCTGATCGCGCCACGCGTGCGGAGGACCTTCTCCGCAGCCGCATCGCCGAGGACCACCGCTGGGATGGTCTGGGGTTCGTTCTTGGCTTGCTGGTAGGTTGCCTCTGGGGCAAACTCCTCCACCACCGTGATACGGAAGGTGGCCACAGTAAGCTTCTCAGGGGCAATCGGGCTGTCGTCCTTCATCTTCGCGTGCAGGGTCGTGCGTCGGGGCGCCTGGTCTCCCGCAAAGAAGATTTTTGCTTTCGCCTTGACGGGGCCCTTCGGCCCCTCCACCAGGACGACCTCGGGCCCCTGGGGGTCAAGGACGACCGTCGTGATGTTGGTCCGGTTGCCCATGGCCTTCCGGACGCGCTCGCTGGACTCGTACTCGGCGGCGGAGAGCGCGAGCACGACGAGCGGCTCCGTCTCCGACTCCATGACAGCCTTCGCCGTCGGGGCTGCGATGATCTTGGTCGTGCCTCAGGGGTCAGTAACCAACCGCTGCTTCGGCGGACTTGAGGGGTTCGTACCCCCTGCGGCCTCTGGAGAGTCCCAGGCGGGGGCATTTGTCGAGAAAGCTGCGATGACCTCGCGCAGCTTGTTCACGACCTGGGCTTGGGTGATCGGCTTGCCGTTGACCTTGCCGCCGTTCTCAACCAGCCCAAGCAGGCTGCGCAAGCGGCTGAGAATGGGGAGCTCGGTGGGCTCCCTCTTCTTGCTCGGTTTCGGCTTGGCCTTGGCTTTGGCGATGGGCCGGACCCCCTGGGTGGTGGCTTGGCCCGTCAGCTTGGTCTGAAGCTCCGCGACGGCGGTGGCCAGCGCTGAGAGCTGCGACTGCATGGAGGCTTCGGTGCGCAGGCGCTTCGCCGTCCTGCTACCTCCCTTCCCTCCACCTCCATAGAGCGGATCCCCCTGCTCTCGAGGTAATTCGGAACACATGCACTGGGTGAAAACGTCCTTCTCGTCAGATCCCAAAGACAAGAGGTGGTTCACTAGGGACTCGATCGGCTCGAGCGTGAAACTGCACTCGTACTCGGTCGCATCGGTGGCCAGGTGGTTTCCCGCCGGGTCCCCCAAGTAAGAGTCGCAATACTCCCAAAAACTGCACTGGTCAAAACTCTCCTTCCCGACAAGGCCCTTGGACGAGAAGAGGTCCCCTAAAAACTCGATCGGCTCGAAGGTGAAACTATTGTACTCGGACTCGTTCGTAGTAGTGGTCGAGCGGCTCCCCGGACCCCAAGGGTAACACGCAAGAACATCCTCCGACAGCTCCCTGGAATTGGAATCAGAACAATCCCCCCCGTCGGTGTATGCCGTACTGGCGCTTTTGCAGCACATCGGGCCCGAGATTGCAGCTCGTCGGCCACTCTTTCGGTCCCTTTCGCGGCACCTCTTTGCCCAGCGGGCCAGAGACGCCCCCGCCACCGCCAAGGCCACGATGACGTAGCCAGGGGGCTGCTGCTTGGTGGCCTGCCTGGACTCATTTCCTCCGAGGTCCTGAACGACTGCCGGGGGAGAGGTTCCTGAAAAGTCTTAGTATGTATCTCTTCTATCATGTGCGCATCGATAGATATGTGTGTATGCATGCATGCATGCATGCATGCCTGCACACATGCCTGCCTGCACGCATGCATGCATGCATGTATGTATGTACGTACGCATATATGTATGCCTGCATGTGTACAGGTACGTATGCATGCATGTATACATTCATGACTGTTTGCATACATGTATGCATGCATGCATGCATGTATATATTTATAGGTATGTAGGTATGTATGCATGCATGCATGTGCATGTATGTAGGTGTATGTATTATATTGTAATGTAGTATATTGTAATGTAACGCAATGAATTATACTGTTTGGTAACGCAGTGCACTGTAATGTAATGTAAATATAAGGTAATGTAATGTAATGTAATGTAGTGTAGTGTAATGTAATGTAATGTAATGTAATGTAACCTAGTGTAATGTAGTGCAATTTAATGTAATATGTTGTAATGTAATGGAATGTAATGTTTTGTAATGTAAGATTATGTATTGTACTGTGCTGTGATGTAATGTAGTGTGCCATGTAATGTAGTGTATGTATGTACTTATGCATGTATGTATGCATGTGCGCGTAGGTATGTATGCATGTATGCATACATGTATATATGCATACATGTATGTATGCATGCATGCATGTCTGCATGTATGTATGTGTATATATATATATATATGTATATGTATATCTATATATACACCCTCCTGTGGTAATCTCTGCCTTCCCTTCGGAAAGGAGGAGTGGGGAAGGGACCAGGGCTGGTTCCAGGGCGTGCTCCGCCAGGGCGTCCCGCTGCGCCCTTCAGAAGGCGAGTCCGACCTGCTGACGCCGAGGCTGCTGTGGCCTGTGCGAGCGGAAGACGTTGTTGTCCGAGGGGAGAGGGAAGCCTACGATTGGCGTTGGAGATGTATATCGTACGACCTTCGGAATAGCGTGCACCGAAGAAGCCCTGGCACGGGTGTTGGCGTGCACAGAGGGGGCTCTCGCGGGGGGGATCGCCTCACAGGGGCAGCGTGCTTGTCGGATATCGGTTTTGCACGCTATCTTCGACCGTACGCCGAGGAGCTGTTTGAGGTGGGCATGCGCGACGGCCGGCCGAAGTACGTGCGCGCCGGCGACGAAAAGGTGGTCGTGGAGTGGAGCAGCGAAAAGAAGGTGCCCGCCCTGGTGGGGGGCGCCTGGTGCAGCCTGGGCGCCTTGCCAGAAGCACGCCTGGTCGTTTCGTGGTTTGCGGTGCCCAGGGAGGAGAAGGAGGAGGAGGAGGAGGAGGACAAATAATATCAATAGTGCTAATAGTATTAGTCTTAGCATGTTCTACCCTTGCTGGCAGAAAACTGGAGGGGGGTCACTGGGGGTTTCCAACCCGTCCCCCCCCCCCCTTTCGAAAACCCAGGGGGGGTCACTGGGGGTTCAACCCCCCCTCCCCCCCATCGGTCCAGGTCCATCATGAAAGGGGGGGGGGTCACTACTGGTTCGAACCCCTCCCCCCCCCTCTTGGAAAACCGGGGGGGGGGGGTCACTACCGGTTCGAATAGCCCTCCCCCTCCCCCCCTCCTCCCCCCTCGCCGCAACGACTCCACTTCCTCTCTCACTCTGGATGGGGGACTGGTGGGGACAATGGTTGAGACGGTGGTGGGGATGTTGGGTGGGAGTGGGGACAGCGGGAAGAGTGGGACCGTGGTGGGGATTGGTGGGAACATTGGGGGCAGTGCGACAGTGGTGGGGGCACTGGCGGGGACTGGGGACTGGCGGGGACTGGGGGCAGTGGGACAGTGGTGGGGACAATGGGGACAGTTGGACAGTGTTGGGGTCTGTGGTCGTGGAGACAGCAGTGGGACAGCGGTGGGGACGGTGGTGGTGGGGACAGTGGTGAGGGCGGTGGTTGGGACGGTGGTGGCACAGTGGTGCAGTGGGGATAGTGGTGGGTACAGTGGGGACAGTGTTAGGGGGACAGTGTGGACGGTGGGGCAGCACAGTAGGACAGCGGTGGGGACAGTGGGAACGGTGGGACAGTGGTGGGGACAGTGGGGACAGTGGGACAGTGGTGGGGACAGTTGGGACAGTGGGGAGAGTGAGATAGTGGTGGGGACAGTGGGGACAGTGGGGACAGTGCGACTGTGGTGGGGGCAGTGGTGGGGAAAATGGAGACAGTGGTGGGAACAGTGGGGACAGTGGGACAGTGGTGGGGACAGTGGGGACAGTGGGGACAGTGGGACAGTGGTGGGGACGGTGGTGGTGGGGACAGTTGTGAGGGAACACTGGGACATTAGTGGGGACAGTGGGACAGTGGTGGGGACGGTGGTGGTGGGGACAGTGGTGAGGGCGGTGGTTGGGACGGTGGTGGGACAGTGGTGCAGTGGTACAGTGGGGAGAGTGGAGGGGACAGTGGTGGGAACAGTGGGAGGGAGAGTGGTGGGGACGGTGGTGGGGAGGGTGGTGGGGACAGTGGGGGCAGTGGTGGGAACAGTGGGACAGCTCAGTGGGACAGCGGCGGGGATGGTGGGGACAGTGGGACAGTGGTGTGGACAGTGGGGAAAGTGTGACAGTGGTGGGGACAGTGGGGACAGTGGGGAGAGTGGGACTGTGGTGGCGACAGTGGCGGGGACAGTGGGGACAGTGCGATGGTGGTGGGGGCATTGGTGGGGACAGTGGGGACAGTGGTGGGAACAGTGGGGACAGTGGGACAGTGGTGGGGACGGTGGTGGTGGGGACAGCGGTTAGGAGGGTGGTGAGGACGGTGGTGAGGACCCGGAAATCTTTTGCCGGCGACGAGGGGGGGGGATTCGAATCGGCGGTGACCTCCCCCGGTTTTCTGGAGGGGAGGGAGGGGGGGGGAGAGGGGGGGTTCAAGCAGGGGGGGGGGATTTTCGGAGGGGAGGGGAACCCCTGGTTTCGGAGGAAGATGGGGACACTTTTCCACAGGGAAGCGGCGGTGGATCACTCTCTCTCTCTCTCTCTCTATAATAGTAACAAGACGAAGAAGAAGAATAATCATACGATTCATCGTATTTTTATATATACAACACGTAACGATCATATTATGAATATTCTCCATAATAGTAAGAGACGTAATACGACTAACACGATTAATCATACGAGCATGTTTAAATTACGAAAATTGTCAACCATCATAAGACAACAACAATAGCAATACGACGCATATTCATATTACTATTACGAGTCGTAGAGAGAGTAATATGAGTACAAGTAAACATACTGAACTCATTATGATTAATATTTTTATTGTTATTATTCCCAACCCTCCTGCGTTGGGTACTCGTTTTGAATAGAGCACTGCGGTCTCCACCTTCCTTCCTTCCCGCCTCCTCCTCCTCTCTTCCCTCTTCCTCTCCTCTCTTGCTTCCCTTCTCCGCCTCTCTTCGCTCCTCCTCTTCTCTCTTGCATCCCTTCTCCTCTCTTCGCTCCTCCTCTCTTGCTTCCCTTCTCCTCCTCTCTTCGCTCCTCCTCTTCTCTCTTGCCTTTTACGTCATCCCTTTGGGGCTGCGATCTGTGAAACTGTCGCCACTTTCGAGGGCTGCTGGTGGGTCCAGCGGAGTGAGGCACCACGCAGATTCAGATTAGACCTCGCCATCCCTGGGGGGCTGCGATCTGCGAAACTGTCGCCACTTTCGAGGGCTGCTGGTGGGTCCAGCGGAGTGAGGCACCACGCAGATTCAGATTAGACCTCGCCATCCCTGGGGGGCTGCGATCTGCGAAACTGTCGTCACTTTCGAGGGCTGCTGGTGGGTCCAGCGGAGTGAGGCACCACGCAGATTCAGATTAGACCTCGACTTTCGAGGGCTGCTGGTGGGTCCAGCGGAGTGAGGCACCACGCAGATTCAGATTAGACCTCGCCATCCCTGGGGGTTTGCGATCTGCGAAATTGTCGTCACTTTCGAGGGCTGCTGGTGGGTCCAGCGGAGTGAGGCACCACGCAGATTCAGATTAGACCTCGCCATCCCTGGGGGGCTGCGATCTGCGAAACTGTCGTCACTTTCGAGGGCTGCTGGTGGGTCCAGCGGAGTGAGGCACCACGCAGATTCAGATTAGACCTCGCCATCCCTGGGGGGCTGCGATCTGCGACACTGACGCCACATTCGAGGGCTGCTGGTGGGTCCAGCGGAGTGAGGCACCACGCAGATTCAGATTAGACCTCGCCATCCTTGGGGGGCTGCGATCTGCGAAACTGTCGCCACATTCGAGGGCTGAGGGTGGGTCCAGCGGAGTGAGGCACCACGCAGATTCAGATTAGACCTCGCCATCCCTGGGGGGCTGCGATCTGCGACACTGACGCCACATTCGAGGGCTGCTGGTTGCGAAACTGTCGCCACATTCGAGGGCTGCTGGAAGCGCCTTCGGCCGCGTCCCCATCGTGATATACCTCGGGGACTTCCTGCAGCTGAAACCTACCGGCTCCGGCATGTCACTGCTGACCGACCTGCAGCGGTTGGGGTCCGCCGACAGTCGGAAGGAGGGGCCGCCCGTCGAGCACCAGACGGCAATGACGTTTTTCTGCGACACGAAACTGTGCTTCGAGCTCCAGGCCACCAACCGCTTCAAGGACCCCGATCTTGCCGATCTCATGAACTACATGCGCAAGCCGAAGAAGGGCAAGGTCCCTCAGAAGATCGCGGAGACCTGGAGACGCATTCAGATGAAGCCCAACGACCCCCGACTGGGCGAGGAGCGGTTCCAGACTGGACACATGATCGCCTGGTTCTGGGACACCGTGGCTCGGTGGATGATGATGCGGGCGAGGAGGGACGCCGCGTCCCTCGGGCGGGTGCTCTA